GAACAGTATGCTTTATTAGACTGCACATACACACACTACACCACAGCAAAATAAATCGCATTGATTTATAAACATGCATTACGTAAAAAAACTTTTTGTCTTTCTATTACCAATTTTTTAACTTGTTTGACTCACCGACTCGCCGATCAAGGTAGCCACGTTCTGCTTTCGTTTCTGGAACAAAAAAATGTTTCGCCGATTAGATTCGTGCATTGATCTTGGTTTGAGTGAAGAAGTTTGCAATATTAAAAAAAAATAAACGCGCAATATTTTTCACGCTGAGAGAATTTTTCGGAATGCATTCACACTTACAATATTCCACACTTTCCTTTTTCTCGACGTTTCACATAATATTGATCAAATAATATTAATTGCTTTTCGGAATGCATTCACACTTACAATATTCCACACTTTCCTTTTTCTTGACATTTCAAATAAATCTCTTAATTAGAACAAATCAGTATTTTTCAAGTGGTAATGTTACTTAGGAAAAAATTCTCCCCGCATGTAATTACGATTTAACGCAATCTTTGATTCGATTCAAATTATCTCGATTTCGAGCAAGAGAATTATCAATATTATTGAATTTATAATTACAAATATTAAAGAGAAACTAACCTTCGAGCTAACCCTGCTTGGCCCGAGTCGGATCCTCCGGCGCAGCAGCCCCTAAGAGTTGGCTGGTCATCTGCTTCGTCTCTGCAACATAAAGCACATTTAATTTAGTATTACACACGACAATGGTGGCATTAAGGAACTTGATTCCAAACAAAAGAATTTCCAGTTTTATTGGATTTCTAATTGCGAATTTAAATCAGTGAAACTCACCTTCGCGCCAACTCTGCCAGACTCGAGCCGGATCCTCCGGCGCGGCATCCCCCAGGCATCGCATTCTCTAGAGCCACGTAACTGCGTCTTCTCTACTAGATCTCTGTGACAGAAATTTAATTTAATTTAATATCAATTAGTAATTTAATAAATTAGTATTAAATAGTTATACGCGATAGCAAGACGGTGAAGAGAAATTGTAACGGCACGTTTAAATTCCTTCCCAATGCGCAATAAAAAATAATTAAACGATAGCCGAATAAAGAAGTAATAATTCCCGATTAATTATAAAGCGATGATAATAATGTCTGATCGACAACCGTATAATAATGCCCGATAGTATCAATTAATTACACACGACAGCAAGACGAGGTAAGAAAATCGTTGTAACGGCACGCTCAAGTTACTTCCCTAATACGTAATAAAAATAGTTAAATGACAACTGTATAAAGAAATAATAATATTCGAATAATAAATGGATGATGATAATATATAATCTGCATTGAGGAACTCGATCACGACGTTTCTCTATCTAATAAGTAAAAAAGTAAATGAAACGCGATAATTACCCGCTGCGGTAAAGCTCACATCTGCTCGCGTGATAAGTATGCGTCTCAAATTGTGTTAATTATTGTCTTAATTGTGGTGAAGTCAAAATGCGGTATCAAAAATCGGCGCGAAATAATTTAGAAAGTAACGCGGCAGCTCCCGCGATGCGTTCGCCTCGGCGGCTGATAGCGTTATGGCGTGACGCACGCCTTGCCGCGCGCCCTCCCCTCCCTCCCAACGCCGCTCAGTCAACAGCCCGAGCAGCCGTAAAGCCCATTCACAATTGCGTGGTTGTAAAGGGACGTCTACATTGGAAGTAAATAGCAAGAAGTAGGAAGTAAGAGTAAGAAATTGACCAACCACAGTCGAATGTGAGAAGAATAATTAACTATGATTGGTCAATTTCTTATTCTTACTTTCTACTTCTTACTGTTTACTTCCAATGTAGACGTCCCTTAAGTGGTTGTAAGTGATTACGACAACCAATCAGAGTAAAGCAATCAGTGAATAAAACATTCGGATTGGTTAACTTTTACGTTCACGACTACGTTTACGCAATTGTAGAATGAGCTTTACGACGGTCGGTTTACCCTAACCTTCGTGGAGCCTAGAGTTTTTGTTAGAGCCATTATCCAGGTATTATTATTACCGATTATTCGATCATTTATTATCGTTAACAATGAATAACAATAACTGGACAACGGTAATAATAACTGATTAAAGACGAGGTTAAAGAAATTGTCGTAACGGCACGCCCGAGTTACTTCCCTATGTGTAATAGCAATAATTAAATAATAACCGAATAGATTAAATAACAATCAAATAAAGAAGTAATAATACTCGAATATTAAACAGATGATAATAATATTTGATTGGCATTGAGGAACTCAATCGCGAGGTTTCTCAATCTGACAAGTAAAAAGGAAACGCGGTAATTACCTGTCGCGGTAAAGCCTGCAACACCTGCTCGCGTGAAGAGTACGCGTTTTGAGGTGTCTTAATTATCACGGAGTCAAAACGCGGTATTAAAAATCGGCGCGGAATAATCTAGAAAATAACGCGGCAACTCTCAATGCGTTCGCCTCGACGGTTGAGAGTGTTATGGTGTAACGCTCGAGCACGTGTTTACGTACGCGTGTTTACATGACCCGACCGCACGGTCCGTCAAGCACCGTTTAGTCAGCGGCACGAGCTGGCCGTTACGACGTTCACCTAGCCTTTGTGAAGCCTAGAGTTTTTGTTACAGCCGTTACCTAGGTATTGTTATTACCGATTATTCAATCATTGTTATTCCGTTATTATCCACTCGCGAATATTATCACACGATTGTCGAGCAAATATTATTATCACTATTATTTAATATTCGAGTATTATTATTTCTTTATTCGATTATTATTTAATTTATTCAGTTATTATTTAATTATTGCTATTACGTATAGAAAAGCAACTCGGGCGTGTCGTTACGACGATTTCTTTACGATTTCTTCTTTGTTCAGTTATTATCGTCGTTGCAATAAACAGTTGCGTGGGAAATTATATACATATATATATATACACACTCGGAATATTCGGACGTTGTGAAAAGTGCGATAAAAGTATGGTGCCATCTTTACTCGATTACTATTTAATTTATTCGGTTATTATTTAATTATTGCTATTACGCATAGGAAAGCGTGTCGTTACGACGATTTCTTTACGATTTCGTCTTTGTTCAATTATTATCGTCGTTGCGATAAACAGTTGCGTGGGAAACTATATACATATACACTCAGAATATTCGGACGTTGTGAAAAGTGCGATAAAAGTATGGTGCCATCTCGAAAAATATCCGTAAACTAATTTTTCGCTCTACTTTATCATAGTTGTCAGAAAACCTAACTGCAAGTAATCATAAATTTTTCGTATCTTTTTTGGCATCGAAACTAATTCTGAAAATGTAATAGTGATCTTTGAAATTTTCTTAGTTGAAGTATCCACAGTTTCGGTATCTACGACCTGCAGAATGTTTGTATTAAACAAATATTGCACTGACAGCTCAAAATTTAAATTTAAACATTTTTTTTTCGTTTTCGTCACATATTGAGCAATGCTCCAATTAATTTTTGCATGCACTTCTGTTGTGTAAAAGCATTTGTAATTCTGTGCAAGCAACAAGACGTAAACTTTGCAGAAAAAAGTCAATGTTATGTCGGTAAAGTTTTCATGTCCGGCATTCCCTTAAGTAAATCTTAAAAAGAGGATATACGAAGAAAAAAGTCACATGATCGTGTCAGCATTTATCGATATTTTTTTGTTTTAGCTGTCAAAGTAAAAAAATCGAAAAATTTCGGCAGTGCCCCTGACAATCATGTTTTGATCATTTTTACAAATCTACAAGTGAAACGATGTCGTGACACGAAATTCTACGTATTACTCATTTTCGTTACATTATTGAAAATTTGAAATAGAAGAAGCAAATGTTACTACTTCATTCGGACTGTTCCCTTTTTTCATGAATGATGATTAACGGTTAGGTAAGACCGCGTTCTATATTTTAACGAATTTATGTAAAGATTTTTTAATTAAAATACTAAAAATAATAATTTAAATATGAAATACTAAGTGAATTATTAATATAAATAATATCACCACAACTTTATTCGGAATTTCTATTAAATCCCTTTAATCTGTTTACTTCTTTTATCTAGAAGGAGAAGCTATATTTCCGATTATTTGAGATATTATTTCGAGGGTGCAATATGTCGAAAGTTAAATCTCCAGTAAAATTAGGTGGTACCGGTGATCACAGCGATGTCGGTGAAAATGATGCGATTGAAGGAAAAAAGGAAATTGTTCCATACTACGACTTCGGAAAACGATGGCATCGCTTTCGCGTTCTGACACCGCGATCGTTCATAATTCGGGGTTCCCATGCCATGAGCGATCTCCGATTCAAGTACAGAAGTCGCGGTCGCCAAGCTGCCCCGTGCTCAGTAGTGGCTCTCGTCTACGGCCGAATGTTTCATCCGAAGGAGTGGACGCGGGAGCACGTCGACCAAGTACTCGAGCACGGCGACAAGCTATTTCGCTTGAGCATAATGAGGAACCAGCTGAAGGAGGACGAGTATATGAGAACCAACCTCGTGCACAACGAATTCTACGTGAGCATCTACAAGGTTCTGGTACGCGTTGAGGACAGTGGGATTCGCGGCAATCTTTTCAGCGAGTCCGTCGGCTGCTCCGACCTCACGGAAGGCTTACGGAAATTCTTCGAGAGCGGTGACGACGCCAGAGGAGTAATCACGGCGCAGGGTAATTCCGTCGCTGTGTGGCGTCAATCCCCTGAAGCTGGTTTCCTTTACTACGACCCGGCGTCGTGCGATGAGGCGGGTGTACGCTGCACTGACGGCACAGCCTGTCTGATGAGATTCAAATGTTTGGATGATTTGCGCGATCATGTGCTGAAGAGCGTGAACCCGCTCTATGACTCTCGATATTGCATCGATCGCGTAACCATATTGCGCGTTGTGGAGGTTGGTCGACCTTTCGTCGAACTCATGGCCAGCGCCACAGGTCCTGTAGTGCAGAAGAGTATATTGCGATCTATCAATCCGGTGGACGCCGATGAGCTGGACTGTACCAAGCCAGTACCGAAGGACGAGAGACTGCGCGCATCTGCTCGGATACGCAAGCAGCCGTTGTTCATTACCATCTCGAATTACAGCATCGACCGTCGATTTGCCACAGAGCCGTTGGTGAACCGGAACGATTTCGACACTGGTTACTCCTACGACGACATGCGGGTGAACGTGCCGTCCACGTTCAAGGAACTGCCTGGAAAAACAGCGATTCTTCGTGGTCTTACTCACGAGGGTAGCGAGGAGTACAAGGGCAAGGGCGCTCAGAACGTGGCCAACTGTGTGATGTCCATCGTCATGAAGGAAGTCCACCCGGTCAAGACATGGTTGAGATCCAAGTTGGACGAGATCCTGATATTAGGCGACTCGATGTACGCTAACGTGAAGGCTGAGAAGCCGATGATAAAGACAATGACTGCCTCTGATTTGAACGACGCGAGGATCATAGTGGAGGACCGTAAATTGGCAGTGGGCGTGGATCTAATCTCCGTGACCGGCACGATAAGTTCGAAGACGCCGTCGGTGTTAAACTTGAAGCAGGCATTGGAACAGTTTTTTCTGTTGTACGAGGAGGGGGTGCTCGAGACGCCTTCCATGGCGGTCGCGATTTGGAGTCAAAATGACTGTTATTACATGTTCGATCCTCGGTCTTGCGACGCCTTAGGTGTGAGAATTAAGGAAGAGAAGGCTACCAAGGTCGCAGCAGGCAAGGGTAAAAAGACAGAAGATGACGCCGTGAGGAAGGAGCAAGGAAGCTGTTGTGTAACACGATTTCCAGACGTGGATTCGTTGGTCACGTTATTCTTGAAGAATATCGATCCGGCTAAGAAGAATGACAGATTCACTGTTAGACACGTCACAGTGATGGACGACAAGCCTGGCAGTCGAGCCTGGAATGAATTCCAACCCGGTGAGGTGGGCAAGACCTGGTTGTTGCGCGGCAGCATCTCCAACATGGATGAATCGTTCAAGGAGGAGAATCAAGGGGCACAGGGCCTTCCCATGTCAATAGTAGCTTTAGTGAACGCGAGGGAAATTCCACCAGCGAAATGGAGCAGCGAAACCGTCGATGAAGCGGTGCGAGAGGGCGACGCTTATTACAACTGGTGTAAACCTCCCGAGACAAAGGAGGAAGTGGAGGAAAAGACGTTTCTTCTTCAGGATTTGAAGAGGCACTTCTATCTGAAGAATTGCAAAGTGAAAGTCGACATCGAAGAGGCGGTAGTCGTTGGAGACTTATCGGCGTCGGACGACTCTGAGGTGCTCAACTTGAAGAAAGGATTGCGTCAATTTTTCGACAATAAGCAGTACGGGATAATCGAGGTGAAGAATCTTTTGGCGGCTGTGTGGAAAGCTGAGGAGCAGCTCAAGGACAAGAGCAAGGAGATCTATTATTACTATTTCGACTCCAATCCTCGAGATGCTTTGGGTCGGATAATAGAGGCAGATGAAGAGAATACCGCCTGCGTGGTGCGAGCTTTGGATGTTTCGGCATTGGCAGAGCTGATTCAGAATAATGCAGGACGAGAAGGTGGAAACGATTTTACGATACATGAACTGAAGAACATCGCCATTGGTGCGCCGATGACGGATGACAAGATCGAGGCGGATAAAAGAATACCAGTTAAACCGGACTTAAAACACTACTCTGCCATGGGCGACACTGGCGCTGTGCTTTTGGGCACCATCAACCAGGGTAACGAGACACTTTTCAAACGGCAGACGAGAGACAGGCAGCAAGCCGCAAACTCTCTCACGACTCTAGCCATGACGAAACTCTACAATTCTCACCTGTGGTACCGCGAATTCGTGGACGATATCCTGAAGATCGGCGACAAGCTTACCAATGAAAATCTGGTGAACTTGTTGGAAGCGGAAGAAATGCCTAGAAACTATCTTCTTCCATCGGAGATCACGGAGGATTTCGACATAGGAGTCAATCGTATATCATTCGTTCTCGAGGAGGAAGCTGTCAGTGGACATGTGACGGAGATGGCGAGCTTGCTGGAAGAATTTTTCAAGGAGAACGCGATGGGAGTGCTGCGTCAGGGTGAAACAATGATGCCGATCTGGAGGGAGGCCGACGTGTTCTTCACGATGGATCCCAAAGGCAGGGACACTCGTGGTGAGCCCGTTGAAAAGAACGGAGCTGCGGCGGTGATGTGGTTCACCGACGTGCCGTCGTTGGCTGCCGCGATCCATACCGCAGTCGCGTCTGATGACGATTTCGTCATCGACGCCGTCACAATGGAGAACACGTACGAGACGCGGACAACTGAGGCTCGGCTAACGAAGAGGACCACTTCCGGGGAAGAGCTGTGGCATCACTTTCCCAAACTCGCGGATGGCGTTTGGAACATCGGCGGTAAGATCACCATGATGGACGAGAGGTTCGACGAGGTGAATCGCGGCAAGCAAAGCGCCGCTATCGCCGCGATGGCCGTCATTTTCTCCAAGGTTCGTTCAGTTCCAACAATTCGCGCATTATGGTTACTTAAATTGTATTCGACGCGAAATGAAATATTAAATCGTAGAGAGAGTGACATAGTTTGTTAATATACAAAATATTATTAGTTACAAAATATTATGTGTTAATACACGAAATTAATGCACTAATTTAACGGTACGATTCAGTTTCATAAATATTTTGATGGACTTTAGTGGAAACGAATTCGCGAAAAGAAATGGCAAATAAGAACTTTACTGCAATTATAATTGCAATTATAATTGCAATTATAATTGCAGTAAAGTTCTTATTTGCCATTTCCTTTCGCGAATTCGTTTCCACTAAAGTCCATCAAAATATTTATGAAACTGAATCGTACCGTTAAATTAGTGCATTAATTTCGTGTATTAACACATAATATTTTGTAACTAATAATATTTTGTATATTAACAAACTATGTCACTCTCTCTACGATTTAATATTTCATTTCGCGTCGAATACAATTTAAGTAACCATAATGCGCGAATTGTTGGAACTGAACGAACCTTGGAGAAAATGACGGCCATCGCGGCGATAGCGGCGCTTTGCTTGCCGCGATTCACCTCGTCGAACCTCTCGTCCATCATGGTGATCTTACCGCCGATGTTCCAAACGCCATCCGCGAGTTTGGGAAAGTGATGCCACAGCTCTTCCCCGGAAGTGGTCCTCTTCGTTAGCCGAGCCTCAGTTGTCCGCGTCTCGTACGTGTTCTCCATTGTGACGGCGTCGATGACGAAATCGTCATCAGACGCGACTGCGGTATGGATCGCGGCAGCCAACGACGGCACGTCGGTGAACCACATCACCGCCGCAGCTCCGTTCTTTTCAACGGGCTCACCACGAGTGTCCCTGCCTTTGGGATCCATCGTGAAGAACACGTCGGCCTCCCTCCAGATCGGCATCATTGTTTCACCCTGACGCAGCACTCCCATCGCGTTCTCCTTGAAAAATTCTTCCAGCAAGCTCGCCATCTCCGTCACATGTCCACTGACAGCTTCCTCCTCGAGAACGAATGATATACGATTGACTCCTATGTCGAAATCCTCCGTGATCTCCGATGGAAGAAGATAGTTTCTAGGCATTTCTTCCGCTTCCAACAAGTTCACCAGATTTTCATTGGTAAGCTTGTCGCCGATCTTCAGGATATCGTCCACGAATTCGCGGTACCACAGGTGAGAATTGTAGAGTTTCGTCATGGCTAGAGTCGTGAGAGAGTTTGCGGCTTGCTGCCTGTCTCTCGTCTGCCGTTTGAAAAGTGTCTCGTTACCCTGGTTGATGGTGCCCAAAAGCACAGCGCCAGTGTCGCCCATGGCAGAGTAGTGTTTTAAGTCCGGTTTAACTGGTATTCTTTTATCCGCCTCGATCTTGTCATCCGTCATCGGCGCACCAATGGCGATGTTCTTCAGTTCATGTATCGTAAAATCGTTTCCACCTTCTCGTCCTGCATTATTCTGAATCAGCTCTGCCAATGCCGAAACATCCAAAGCTCGCACCACGCAGGCGGTATTCTCTTCATCTGCCTCTATTATCCGACCCAAAGCATCTCGAGGATTGGAGTCGAAATAGTAATAATAGATCTCCTTGCTCTTGTCCTTGAGCTGCTCCTCAGCTTTCCACACAGCCGCCAAAAGATTCTTCACCTCGATTATCCCGTACTGCTTATTGTCGAAAAATTGACGCAATCCTTTCTTCAAGTTGAGCACCTCAGAGTCGTCCGACGCCGATAAGTCTCCAACGACTACCGCCTCTTCGATGTCGACTTTCACTTTGCAATTCTTCAGATAGAAGTGCCTCTTCAAATCCTGAAGAAGAAACGTCTTTTCCTCCACTTCCTCCTTTGTCTCGGGAGGTTTACACCAGTTGTAATAAGCGTCGCCCTCTCGCACCGCTTCATCGACGGTTTCGCTGCTCCATTTCGCTGGTGGAATTTCCCTCGCGTTCACTAAAGCTACTATTGACATGGGAAGGCCCTGTGCCCCTTGATTCTCCTCCTTGAACGATTCATCCATGTTGGAGATGCTGCCGCGCAACAACCAGGTCTTGCCCACCTCACCGGGTTGGAATTCATTCCAGGCTCGACTGCCAGGCTTGTCGTCCATCACTGTGACGTGTCTAACAGTGAATCTGTCATTCTTCTTAGCCGGATCGATATTCTTCAAGAATAACGTGACCAACGAATCCACGTCTGGAAATCGTGTTACACAACAGCTTCCTTGCTCCTTCCTCACGGCGTCATCTTCTGTCTTTTTACCCTTGCCTGCTGCGACCTTGGTAGCCTTCTCTTCCTTAATTCTCACACCTAAGGCGTCGCAAGACCGAGGATCGAACATGTAATAACAGTCATTTTGACTCCAAATCGCGACCGCCATGGAAGGCGTCTCGAGCACCCCCTCCTCGTACAACAGAAAAAACTGTTCCAATGCCTGCTTCAAGTTTAACACCGACGGCGTCTTCGAACTTATCGTGCCGGTCACGGAGATTAGATCCACGCCCACTGCCAATTTACGGTCCTCCACTATGATCCTCGCGTCGTTCAAATCAGAGGCAGTCATTGTCTTTATCATCGGCTTCTCAGCCTTCACGTTAGCGTACATCGAGTCGCCTAATATCAGGATCTCGTCCAACTTGGATCTCAACCATGTCTTGACCGGGTGGACTTCCTTCATGACGATGGACATCACACAGTTGGCCACGTTCTGAGCGCCCTTGCCCTTGTACTCCTCGCTACCCTCGTGAGTAAGACCACGAAGAATCGCTGTTTTTCCAGGCAGTTCCTTGAACGTGGACGGCACGTTCACCCGCATGTCGTCGTAGGAGTAACCAGTGTCGAAATCGTTCCGGTTCACCAACGGCTCTGTGGCAAATCGACGGTCGATGCTGTAATTCGAGATGGTAATGAACAACGGCTGCTTGCGTATCCGAGCAGATGCGCGCAGTCTCTCGTCCTTCGGTACTGGCTTGGTACAGTCCAGCTCATCGGCGTCCACCGGATTGATAGATCGCAATATACTCTTCTGCACTACAGGACCTGTGGCGCTGGCCATGAGTTCGACGAAAGGTCGACCAACCTCCACAACGCGCAATATGGTTACGCGATCGATGCAATATCGAGAGTCATAGAGCGGGTTCACGCTCTTCAGCACATGATCGCGCAAATCATCCAAACATTTGAATCTCATCAGACAGGCTGTGCCGTCAGTGCAGCGTACACCCGCCTCATCGCACGACGCCGGGTCGTAGTAAAGGAAACCAGCTTCAGGGGATTGACGCCACACAGCGACGGAATTACCCTGCGCCGTGATTACTCCTCTGGCGTCGTCACCGCTCTCGAAGAATTTCCGTAAGCCTTCCGTGAGGTCGGAGCAGCCGACGGACTCGCTGAAAAGATTGCCGCGAATCCCACTGTCCTCAACGCGTACCAGAACCTTGTAGATGCTCACGTAGAATTCGTTGTGCACGAGGTTGGTTCTCATATACTCGTCCTCCTTCAGCTGGTTCCTCATTATGCTCAAGCGAAATAGCTTGTCGCCGTGCTCGAGTACTTGGTCGACGTGCTCCCGCGTCCACTCCTTCGGATGAAACATTCGGCCGTAGACGAGAGCCACTACTGAGCACGGGGCAGCTTGGCGACCGCGACTTCTGTACTTGAATCGGAGATCGCTCATGGCATGGGAACCCCGAATTATGAACGATCGCGGTGTCAGAACGCGAAAGCGATGCCATCGTTTTCCGAAGTCGTAGTATGGAACAATTTCCTTTTTTCCTTCAATCGCATCATTTTCACCGACATCGCTGTGATCACCGGTACCACCTAATTTTACTGGAGATTTAACTTTCGACATATTGCACCCTCGAAATAATATCTCAAATAATCGGAAATATAGCTTCTCCTTCTAGATAAAAGAAGTAAACAGATTAAAGGGATTTAATAGAAATTCCGAATAAAGTTGTGGTGATATTATTTATATTAATAATTCACTTAGTATTTCATATTTAAATTATTATTTTTAGTATTTTAATTAAAAAATCTTTACATAAATTCGTTAAAATATAGAACGCGGTCTTACCTAACCGTTAATCATCATTCATGAAAAAAGGGAACAGTCCGAATGAAGTAGTAACATTTGCTTCTTCTATTTCAAATTTTCAATAATGTAACGAAAATGAGTAATACGTAGAATTTCGTGTCACGACATCGTTTCACTTGTAGATTTGTAAAAATGATCAAAACATGATTGTCAGGGGCACTGCCGAAATTTTTCGATTTTTTTACTTTGACAGCTAAAACAAAAAAATATCGATAAATGCTGACACGATCATGTGACTTTTTTCTTCGTATATCCTCTTTTTAAGATTTACTTAAGGGAATGCCGGACATGAAAACTTTACCGACATAACATTGACTTTTTTCTGCAAAGTTTACGTCTTGTTGCTTGCACAGAATTACAAATGCTTTTACACAA